ATGATCCGCAAAGACCAGTACTTAATTATACAACATCGTTAATAACAATATCATAACTTAAGTATATAAGTACTGAATTAAACTGAAATGTAACTAGGCTAACTGAACTTAACTGAGCTTAACTGAACTTAACTGAGCTGGACTCGACTGAACTCGGCTTAAAGCCGCTAGGCACAAGGCCGCTAAATCATGTGCACACTCTGATGGGTCATTAAGGCCCAACTCGGCCTCCACCAGAACCTAAGATGGGACATTAAGGCCCATCTCGGCCTCCACCTGTAGGCGATATAACTGGGCACATGATGGAACATTAATGCACGTTAGTGCCTCCACCCTGGCGATATAACTGGACCTAGGATGGCTCATTAAGGCACGTTAGTGCCTCCACCCTGGGTGATTTAACTAGGCCTAGGATGGAACATTAAGGCCCGTTCAGCCTCCACCCTTAGTGATATAACTTTTCTCATACATACCTCGGAAATGGTACGAAAATTAAAAATGATGTAGAACCAGTACGTGACCCCCACCTGATAAGCTGCTACAGCTAGGCAAGTGCTGGATGACTGGTAGCTGTCAGAGGCTCGACTCTCCTTAAGCTACACAATTATTTGAGCAAAATGTACTAAGTACTAAGCTCAAACTGAAAACTTGATTCTTATTATTATCTGATCTTACTAAGTTCTCTCACTCGATTATAAAATCATTTAATCTACATTTAGAGACTTGATCTATTTTGGAAGGATTTGTTGACTTTGAGGCATTCTAGAGTTCTTTGAAATATTTCTAAGTCTGATCAGCTTAACTGATTTATCTGATCTAGCATATCTGGCTGATCTGATTTTATCTGAACTAGCTTATACTGATCTGACTTATCTGACTGGGTTCGGAGAGATACTAAAACTCAGTTCACGCTCAAACTGGTATTCCGAACTGCTATTCTCGAATCGTCCAGACTATCCGGACCGATTCGGCTAAACTGGACCGGCGGCTCGGTCTGAGCTGGCCGGTTGCTCGTCTGACTGGGTGCAACTCGGTTTAACCGTGGTACAGGTACATACGCACATACATGGCATCAACCGACGCACATCTAGTCTACTCGGATCTAGAGTTCATCTGGACTGACCGGAAAAAGGTCGAACTAGGGTTCTCTACTCAACCGGCTATCTATCCCGGTTCAAGTCGAAACTCAAACTCTAAGTTCGACGTGATTTCTAGTGATTTTAGGCCCAACAACTGTAGCTAATTTTCAACCGGCATAATATCACTATTTTTAATAAAAGCAGCTAAAGCCCCAAATTATTAGGCATATCAAACAGTCTCCAAAAATTACAAAATTTTAAACATAACACAGTTAGCATTTATAAGATTTTTTCATAAACTTTTAACGCATTTCGAGGCCTTTAGCATTTTTCAAAAACCAAGCATTTCGACTACATACAAAATAAATCAGTATAAAATAGTAAACGGGCACCAAAAATCACGAAACTTAACATATAATTTTCTTTAACATGAATAAAGTCCAAGGTCAAAAGATCAAGTCTCAAGTCAACATTTATCACTTTTAACCCGAAATTACTACGACCGACAATTTACTCGAACCGCTAGTTCGCCTATCAAACGAACATAAAAAATTAATCCGATTATACCTTAAGCCTCAAGTCAACGGGGAGAATTTTATCATATTTATTTCGGCATTTTAACATGTTTATCGAAAAATTCCGATTTATTCGCTTCAAGTCCCAATGTCCCGTATTTTCCAAAATCAACTCAAATCAACATCTTTTTATCTCTTATCTCATTAAAATCGTTAAGTCTAAGCCACATAACTCAAGTTCTTAGATATTATACCTCAAGTGTTCGGAAAAGAGCGGATCGAGCTAGAAAATGAAAAAAAGGGGGTAACCGGTTTGGATCTTGAGCTACTAGGGTCGGACCTTGGACTGTGGGCTCGGTTTTGCCGCTGAAAGTATGGATATGGGCTCGGAGACTGCTAAACGGTTCAGATCTTGACTAAGGGAGGTTTTCGGGCGCGAGCTAGGGCTTGCTCGTGTGCGGGTTCGAGCTTTTCGGCGGCTGTGGGCTTGGTGCTCGCCGGAAACGAGCTGAGAAAGAAGATTGTTGAGCTCGTCGCGAAGGGGGAACGATGATGGTTCTGGGCTCGCCGTTGGTGAGCTACTGCCACCGGAGGAGCGAGGCTGAGCTGCGGGTGGCGAGTTGGTGGTCGCGTCACCGGGAATGGTGAGCTGCCGACGGAAAAGCTGCGGGTAGGAGCGAGCTCTTTGCCGGCGGAGAGAGTAGCTGGTCGCGAGTGAGCTGTGGGTTCGAGCTTCACCGGAAAACAGAGCTCGCGAAGGTAGTGTCGATCAGCTGTGGGCCTCCGCTGGAAAACTCGCGGTGGAGCTGCGATCCGAGGTAGGCTGAGGAGCTGGGGCCGCTGTGAAGGTGCTGTTGGTCGCGAGCTTGAGCTGGTGACGTGCGGCTCGTCGTGACTGTGGGTCACCGGAATAATGGCGTGAATGGCGGAGCTGAGGTGCTGAGCTCGAGCTTGGGGCGGAGTTCGAGCTGAGAACGGCGGCTGAGGTTGGTCTCGCCGGAAATCTGGTCACGGTGGCTGGAAAAAAAATGAACGTGGAGAGCTCTTGAGGAAGTTGAAGCTTGAAGTTTCTCTCTCTTGAGCTAAGGGATATGATATGTGTGGTGTACATGAGCTTAGGGAAAAAGAATGATACATGCTATTTATAGATGTTCTAGTATTAGGGTTTCATGCTCTTGTTGGGCTTTTTATCGGGCTCGATTAATAATTCGACTTGGGCTCGGAATATTTAAAAAATGCCACTTCTCGACTACTCGAATTAAAATGGGCCAACTATTAAAAATAAATTTGGCTAGGATTTAAAATGTCTCGATTTAAAATAGTTGGGCCCGTTAATAAAATAATTAAGTCGATTTGTCGAAATAAAAATAGCCCACTTAAATGGGCCCAGAAAGTGGGCTCGCTCGGGAATTTAATAATTATCAACTATTACTACTACCCGATAAAAATAATTTATCGAGACTTAGTCTTAGGGTTTTATATCTCGTTTCCAAAATAATAAATCGAATACTCTCTTTATGGCTTAGACTTGAAATTAAATAAATTATGCAATTAATACTAGTAATTCTCGGCATAATTAAAATATCACTAATTATGATAAATAAAGTCGAGCTAATTATATAATTTTTGGGTCGGGGCTTACACATTAGACACGTGAGCTTCCTCATTCCTTGTCTGATTCTTTGTTTCATCCGGACATAGAGGAATAGTGCGAAGCATAGGGCTATTACTTTTATGAAAATCTTACATTGTTTTGCAGGTCGATCGACATCTCTCACATTGCAATTGGCGGATCCGCTCCGTCATCCTTTCGACTGTCCGATTTCTATTTGTACCCTGGTCGTCGTGGCTCGACTTTTCCATGTTAATATCGTGTTGGTTCATCCCCACCACCATGGTCGGCACGGTGGTAGCTTGCGAAGTGTTGTAAGTGGCCTGCTGTCCTGCTGTAATCATATGAGCTATCATTCTGTCCAACTCCTCCCGCGACAAGGTCACCGGTTGGCCTCGTTTGACCTCACTTCTCGATGGTGCAGCTGGTGGTACTGGGACTGGATATGGCTGCGCCTGTGTCTGCACCACCAAACTCTAAACTGCTTGAGCATCCTGCGCGTGGCTCAAGCCTGCGACATCACTAGAGACCATCGATGAACTCCCCAAGCCTGTAGAACGAGGCATCAAGGTCATCGGGGTCTGAGAATGTATGGAGAAACCTGGAGACGACCATGCTCTGCACGGACACATGTTTGGCCACACATCGTCAAAATTTGTTCCAAGGTCTTTCTGGAAATTTTTCCGATCATGGCTATGGTGAACACTGGCTTTTCGAACGAAATCCCTGAAGACGGTGCCAAATGGTATTGTAAGGACCTCCAACCAAATAGAATCAGCCTGCTTTTGAGCTCCTCCGCCCGTTTTTGGACCTGCAGAACTCTCACACTGGAAGGATTTTCTGATGAAGTGCCTACGATGCTTCGGTTAGCACTTGTAGAAGATGAAGAGCAATATATAAATATGTAGAGGCCGTAATGTAATTCTAGGCATACATCATTCCCTTGTATAAGGAGATGAGACCATATGTAGAGACCGTAATGTATTTCTCGCCAAGCAATTGTCAATTGTGTCGATTAGTTGGGATGAAGGTCATGGCACAACTAATTTTTCCTAGAAGAAAAATTTCAAGTCGCATTTAAATACATTTTAACTTTTAGAAGATGCAAAACAGTGTACAATAACCAAAAATTTGAATTTATAATTATAACGATATTCCACATAATATTTATGAGAAATGTTAAGGTCTCGTTACGGAACCATTTCGTCGAGGTTTGTAACCGTTAGATCAACTATTACTTGCGGTTACATGATGATCTAACGGTTACAAACCCCGACGGAATGGTTCCGTAACGGGACCGTAGCATTTCCCAAAATTTATAGCCTTTAAAACTAAAATATGAAAATTAATATGTAGGATTCCTTCTTATAATATTTATTGCAATTGATATATATTCAATTATTCCTAATAAAATTACTATGAAAAATTCAATTTTTTTCAATTTAATTATATAAATGTAAATAATTTTCTAAAACATATTAATTGTGAAACTCGATAGTAATTATTGGGAGAAACAAATGGGGAAGAAAAGTCCCTACGACTAAAAACAAGTGTGGACTATCGTCTTGGTCTTCTTCAGCAACCTAAAATAGAACATACCGAGTAATTTGACTAGGCGATATACAAATTGAAAAGGAACTCCCCCGTGTTCAACTCGTACCTTTTAAGCAGGTTATTCCATATGAAGTTACATTTGTTCTTATTGTTCATTCTCCTGTGACACAAGATTGTGGTATTTGAAGTCGGTAAGACAACCCATTTAATCTATAAATAAGTTGAAAGGTGAGTGAAGAGATGTCTCGGTTGATCTACGACAACTGGGAGAGGCTTGTGTTGGCCACACTGCGCCGGGAACAGCTCTGGCAACTTTGTCATGCGGACTCAACTGACCTCAGCATTATCTCCCTCTCCCTAACCTCAAGTTGCGGCCGCTCTTTCTTGATGACCGACATTGGTTCTTCCCGTTTGTACCATGCGGTCGGGTACGAGCCCCAAAAGCCCGTGACTTGGTACGTGGAGGAGACGAGAGATGGAAGCACGATCCTGGTGAAGAGAACCAGGGGAGACAACAAAACTCTTCTACCGATAACATATTTTTCGTATGATTGTGACGAGAAGCTATTTGTATACGAGTACCAAACTCAGACCAGTACGGTTTATCTCCTTATATATTTCGTTTTAGTGTTGATAGCTAGGATTTGATTAGAATTAAAAGTACAACTGTTGTTTTTTTTTTTCAGGCAAGATAGCCACAAACCTAATGAATTGGGAGTCCCGTCTCAAGATCGCGACCGTTGTTGCAAAGGCGATTGCCCTTGCGCATGCGAAACCTACAACCAGTACGCATCCCTCGGGAGATTTCTCCGGCTCCTTATTAAATGACCTGGGCTCGTCATCGGCCCTACGCCTTGCAATTTCCACCGCAGGGTATTGCTCCCCCGAGGCTGCGCACCATGGAATCGTGTCGTGGGCATCCGATGTCTACACGTTCGGGGTTCTGCTGTTGGAGCTCCTCACGATACCGTCTCCCCTCAATATCAGGGGCAGTAGTGCCCATCGGGAGCAGCTCGTGAAGAGGGTTGCAAAAGCGTTGCGAGACGAGGGGACTCTCATCGTTTTCCATTTCATACCCACAAATGTGGCGGGCGAGCTGATCGAGATGTGGAAGGTGCTGCTGCTGGCGTTGAGGTGCGTGGAGGAAGACCCGCAGAGGAGACCGGCTATGGGAGATGTTGTGAAGATGTTGGAAGGTGTAAAGCAAGACTGATCGGGCTACGTACCAAGCATACAGCTCTCAGCCTTTAATATTCGATCTGGCCGTGTCATCCATTGAAAAATATTAGTGACCATAAGTCCATAACTCTAGCTAAGATATGCTATAGTACTTGATAGGGAAATTTGTGGTTCTACATCGTCAAATAATTGAAGGTATTTCAAGAATAATTCAAAAAAAAATTCAAATATATCATAGATGAGAATTTGAGTTGTACAACGCTAGTATAATATCAATTACAGGGATAAAAAATGAAAAAATATGTGTATTATAATATTTAACAAAAAGTAATTAAATACATTTATTTTTTAGTTCAAATCATCAATTTCTTCTCCAAAAATGGAGACATTATAGTATTATACAAAATAAAGTATGTGGGGCCACGATTTTTTTTCACTCAAATTATCTAAACACATGTATGCTAATGGCTCACGAATATTATTAATTTTCCAACTTATTATATATAAATAAATAGTATCATTGATTGATAGAGAAATTGAATTTTTGTAATATTTTTTAACAAATTATATATGAAAAATCTTTAAACTAATTGAACTAGAAGTTTTTATTTAATGTTTAGAAATATTCATTTAAAAGTAATGCTCATTATAGTTTTATTGACACCCTTATGTTACATGGCTTCATGATAAAATTCAATAGCATTAGCTTGATTGATAATAGTTTTTATCTGCTCCACACCCAGTGGCGAATATAGTAATTTCAGTAGGGGGTCGATTTTAAATGTTATAATGAGTTTGTAGTTTAAGACGAGACACTCATTTCATATGAAAATGTATTTACTATAAATATAAATATCAATGTGTACTATCAAGTTCTTAAAAACTTAGAATTTGTATCACCCTCCAACTTTATAAATAATAAGCAAAAAAACAAAAGAAATATTTCATGTACTTATAATTTAGTTCAACATCTATAATTTATGAAAAAATAAGTTTTTTTGCTGAAAAATTGATTTAAATTTGACTTTTGTAGCACATTGCATAACATTGTTGTTGATGAGAGTTTATCCAATAAACATTTTTTTGATAAAAAATATTAAAATATATGATTACACAAAAAAAAAAAGTAAAAAATCAACATTAAAAATGTAACAATCCAACTAAATACTCGGTTTTATAAATCATTAAAGCAATTTACAATTAAGAAACCGAAAAAGTATATCAGTATAAATGTTTTAAACACTTATTTCGATATGTAAAATATAAAGATTGTTAGTACATTTTTTAATAAGTATATAATATTATTAGTTTAAATTAAAATAGAATAGAAAATAAGTTTTAAGTATTAATATTTTTCACAAATCTTATAGTATTTTCTCTTTATATAGTATATCTATATTGATTTAAAAAAAATAAAAAAATTAGGGGGCCTACTGGCCCCCTTGGCCCTAATGTAGCTCCTTAATTGTCCACATCTTTGAACCAAGTTTTTCCATCTTATTTATGGCTCTAAATTCGTTCTTTAATTACCTGCAAAGTGTTGAGAGGTGTTCTTAGCATAAACATTCCGACAATCAAGTCAAAATGAGTGCCACGCAATAAATTCAATTATTTTATATCAAGAGTATATCAGTGATTAGAACAAAATCTGGGATCTATAATATATTTATAGGTCATAATCTCTGCGTCCTCCAAGTAAAAGACTCCTTTGATGAAGTAAAAGATTCTCGAAAATCTCGGAAGATATATGATTGATTAGATTGCCTTGTTAACATATGTTAACATAAAACAGGAAATACAATAAATAAAGATAAGAAAGGAGAAACCATGAAAGCATCAATCTGGATTTGATATTTCTCCATGACATGACATATCCATTTTCTTGTTCATTACTCCCCTAGGGTTACAAATATGGAAAGTGGTATTTATATCAACCTACTCTATGATCCTACGATCCACATTTCTTCTTCATGATCTTCTTTGCATTGCTGTCATTATTATCTTCATGCTTTTGTCTCTTCTTTCCCAAAGCTGTTCCAAGATGACATGGCAAGGGTTTTAGTTGACCAGTCTTGCATGCATTGCAGAAGCACGATTTTGTTTCCTTAGCTGATTGAGAGGTTTTGTCCTCTTGTTCCAAGTGTATAGAATAACCACATGCAAGTTTACCATGCATGCTATCATCCACCCTCAAGCCAAAGGAGGTTGCAGGTAACAGTTGAAGGAGATTTCGAAACCGAGTGAAGGCTTGTTGTGAAAGTGGCTTGGTAAACATGTCACCAACTTGGTCTGAAGAAGGGACATGAAGAACCTTCAGTATACCTCGAGCAACCTGTTCTCTAACAAAGTGAAGATCTATTTCTATGTGTTTGGTGCGAGCATGCAGCACTGGATTGGTAGATAAGGAAATGGTGCTAAGATTATCAACGCAGACTGTAGGGATTTGAGAGCAAGGGACAGCCAGTTCTTTAAGAAGAGATGTAAGCCAAGTGATTTCTGCAGAGGCTTGAGCTAAGCTCCTGTACTCGGCCTCAGTACTAGATCTTGATATAGATGACTGCTTCTTAGAGCACCAGGAGACAGGATTTTTGCCAAGGTAAATACACACTCCAGAGGTTGATCTTCTATCATCAAGATCATTTGCCCAGTCTGAATCTGAGAAGGCTGTGAGATGAATGCTTGTGTTTCTGGTAAAATGCAGACCATAGGAGAGAGTGCCTGCTAGATATCTCAAGATACGTTTTACAGCCTTCCAATGAACATCCATAGGACATTGCATGAATTGACAGACCTTGTTGACACTGAAAGAGAGGTCAGGTCTGGTAATGCAGGCATACTGCAGAGAGCCTACCACACTTCTGTAAAGTGTGGGATTTTCCATAGGAGATCCTTGATTTCTGGTAAGTGTGGATGAGGACACCATAGGTGTAGGAAGAGGTTTGGCATCAACCATATTTGTTTTGATCAGAATGTCTTTGATATACTGAGACTGAGTTAATAGAAGACCTGATTGTAGGTGGTGAAGTTCAATGCCAAGAAAATGATGTGCCTGTCCCAAATCTTTCAAGGAGAATTTTTGCTGAAGTGTGCCAATAACAGCAGAGACAGCAGCAATATTGGATCCTGTTATTAAGATATCATCCACATAGACCAAAAGCCAAACACAAGAGGAACTGGTTTGTCTAATGTAGAGAGAGCAATCAGACTTTGAGTTATGAAAGCCAAGAGAAAGAAGTGTCTGTTTTAGAGTGTTGAACCAAGCTCTAGGGGCCTGTTTAAGGCCATAAAGGGATCTGTGCAACTTGCACACCATGTGAGGGTGATTAGGATCTTCAAACCCAGGAGGTTGAGACATGTACAGCTCCTCAGTGATTGCACCATTCAAGAAGGCATTATTAAAGTCAAGATGTTTAATGCACCAACCAGATGATAAAGCCAATGATAAAACCACTCTTATGGTTGTAGGCTTGACAACTGGACTAAAAGTCTCATAAAAGTCAATACCTGCAGTTTGGCTATATCCTTTTGCAACTAACCTTGCCTTGTGTCTAGCAAACTCCCATCAGCATGTCTTTTTATTTTAAATAGCCACTTACAGCCTATAATGGACCTATTGGAAGGTGGTTGAACAAGAGTCCATGTCTTGTTTTGAATTAGGGCATGATATTCTGAGTCCATGGCTGTCTTCCATACAGGGTGAGTAATAGCTTCTTTATAGGAAGATGGTTCTACCTCATGAAGTTGAGCTGAGAACAACCTTGGTTTTAAAGAACCTGTTTTGGACCTAGTAATCATGGGATGTACAGGAACATTCTCATTAGTAGCAATAGAATCAGGTAAGTTAGAATTTCTCACACCAGGCAACTCAACACATAGGGGAATGGTGGGATATGAGGATTGACTGTGACTATATGATGAAGAGGAGGATGATGGAGAGTTCAGAGATTGAGACTGTATAGGGGAGTGAGCCTGTGAAGGTGAGTGATGTGGTGATGGTGGGGTGGCTTGAGGATGAACAGTCATAGGAGAAGGAGAAGGAGAAGGGCTGTGAACAATGGGGGGAGGAAGATGTAAAAAGGATGAGATTATATCTGAGTTGGTCTGTGAAGTAGATGATTTAGAGAAAGGGAATTGACTCTCATCAAAAATGACATCTCTTGACACTATGACTTTGCCTGAGGGAAGAAGGATTTTATAGCCTTTGTGTTTGGAGCTGAAACCAATAAAAGTAGAGGGTAGAGACCTGGGTTGGAGTTTGTGTTTGTTGTATGATCTAAGGTTTGGATAGCAAAGGCAGCCAAAGGTCTTAAGGGTGGAATAATTTGGTTTATGACCATACAAGGTTTCTAAAGGGGAGGCAAATTTGAGAGATTTGACAGGTAATCTATTGAGTATATAAATTGCAGCACTGAATGCATCATCCCAGTGAGAGAGAGGAACATGAGAATGGTATAAAAGTGCTAACCCCATTTCCACAATGGTCCTGTGTCTCCTCTCTGCCACACCATTTTGGGCAGGAGTATAGGGGCAAGACAATTTGTGATTAATGCCTGACTCAGTAAAAACAGAAGTGAGGGCTCTAAAATCACCACCCCAGTCACTTTGGATGGCCTTTATTTTATGGTTTAGTTGGTTTTCAGCTAAGTTCTTGAAGTGAAGGAAGGCATCTTTGACTTCTGATTTAAATTTGAGAAAATATATCCATGTGTATTTGGTGTAGTGGTCTACAAAACACACATAGTATTGAGACCCAGTAGTAGATTTTATGGGTGAGGGTCCCCATACATCAGTGTGAACTAGTTCAAGAGGGCAAGTATAAATAGCATCAGAAGGAGTATAAGGAAGAGAATGAGATTTGGCTTGTTGACAAGAACAGCATATAAATTTGTCATTCATTGAAACTGACAGATTACAAGATCTCATAACTTTAAAAACAACCTCAAAAGCAGCATGTCCTAGTCTAGAATGCCATAAGGCCAAATCATTGTTCTTGTTAAAGGTAGCAACATGAGCAGAAATTAAAGGAAAGCTTGA